GGAAGGTGTAGGACTGATGGCCTTGTGGTCTGTTCAGTACCTGTGCTGTGCTATTTGTTAAATTCTGTTAAGTCGTCCCTGCCTAAATTCTAAAGTTTTAGACTCTGGCGACCATGTCTGTGTACATCCAAGTTGAAGCCTTTACAACTACAGGCTCTTACATTTCCCTTCAGTCCTTTTTCTCCAGGTAGGAAGTCTCGGTTTACGCCACTTTATACCCATTAGGATGGCTATTGTTAAAAATAAAACAAAACAGAAAATAACCAGTGCTGACAAGTATGTGGAGGAACTGGAACTCTCATGCATTGCCGGTGGGAATGTAAAATGGTGTTGCTGCTGTGGAAAGCACTCTGGCAGCACCTCAGAAAGCTAAGCACAGAATTACTACATGATCCAGCAATTCTACTCCTAGGTATATACCCAAAAGAGTTGAAAGCAGGGACTCAGATACTTGTACACCAATGTTAGTAGCAGCATTACTTTTCACTATAGCCAAGTAAAAACAACCCAAGTATCCACCAACTAAATGTGGATATGGATAAACTAAATGTGATATATAAATGCAGTAAGATATTATTCAGCCTTAAATAGGAAGGAGATTCTGACACATACATACAACATACATGAACTTTGAAGACATTATGCTAAGTGAAATAAGTCATTCACAAAAGGACAAATATTGTATGATTTGTCCTAGAATAGCCAAATTCATAGAAGCAAGTTTTAGCTTGGGATGACGAAAAGTTTTAGAGACGGGACAGCAGTAATGGTTGCACAACATTGTAAAAGTTCTAAATGCCATTGAATTGTACACTTTAAAATGGTAAACTGTATTTTATGTATTATTTTACCACAGATTTTTTTTAAAGGTCCCCATTTATTTTTAGAACAGTCTTATTTGGAAGTCCTTCCATCTCCTTAACACTTTTGGCTATTCATCTCTGAACTTTCTTTAACTGCCTTGTTTGTTTTGTTTTGTTTTCCTTTTAGAGTTACAGTGACCAGAAAATTGTACACAGAAGAAACGCAAAGAATCTCATACTGAACAGCTATATCCCAGACCTTGGTTCATGGGGCTTAGAGAAATGTAACTGCCTAATTTAAGAGAGATATTGATAGTGATTTAAATCATCACGTTGTTCTTTCCTTTGTAAATATCCTTTGGTGTTAACAGTCATTTCAGTGGCAGAGATGCAACAACACTGGGGTGAGTTTTTGCAGACCTTCCTGAGCCCTGACCTACAGGCCACCTGGTGATTTACAGCCTGGGTCCTAATGACCCCAGCAGAGCCCTGTGGGAGGGAGCAAAGCGGATGTCCACTGAGGCCAGAAGTCCACGCTCCTCTCTCTCCTGTGACCTCCTCTCTCACAGCTTGGTTGGTTTGGCTCTCTGCTTCAGTTTCCCCACCTCCCTCTAGGAGATTTCCAAATACCTAGTTAAGGGAAGGTCTGTGAAATGTATTCTGAAGTCCATGGATGACAGGTTTTCTCCTCACATAATCTCACCTGATCTGTCACATCCCTTGCTCACCTCCTCCCACCGTTTGGCTCCCACAGTTCAGTTGCACAATTATGCACTTTCAGCTAATCTTTCTGGAAAACAGCACCAAAGAAAGAGCTCAGAGATTATTTATTAGTTTTTTTTTAGTATGACATCTGATCTTCAGTGATCCCTCTTGAATTGCCTCCATGTGCACGTTGTTAGACATGATCTTTCTCAAAGGGCTTCTGGAGGTGTGGAGAAATGTGGAGGCCGATGATTGCACATAAATAAATACCTAAGTACATGAATAACATGTTAACATTATTCACAAAGTGACTTAAACAGGAGTGACACAGTTCAGAAGGAAGGGGCCAGAGGAAACTGTTATCTCTATTCTCATTAGTGAGGGAAGAGAAAAGCTTACTGAAGATAACGTGCAAGAAATAGCTAAGTGGAAGGAAGGGCAGTGGAGAAAGGTATCTAAGTACGAATGAAGAGAAGGTTCAAGGCAGAAGTGAGCCGATCCAATGATCACACGAACACAAGGGAAGAGACAGATGAAACAGGAGGAACTGCCTGGCTGAACAACCTTGAGATTTCCACACCAATTAGGGCAGGGCTTTGACTCTAGACTGAAACCATTATTTATGATAACTGGGCCAAAGGTCAGAAAATTCATCAACTGTGATTCTACTTCCATTCCTGACCTGCTGGTTACAGAGGTTTCTAGCCATAAGAAGCAATCTAGACTCAGGGATTCGATATTAAAGAATTTATATAACTATGTAGTTTTATCAGAATCCATCTCATGAGCTAGCCCGATTGGTTTATTTTCTAAAAACTGCTTTAATAACAAATATTCCTAGCAGGCATTTACTTTAACGTCTTCTTGGTGTAGTCAGAAATCCGAGTCTGTAACTAGGTCCCCTGATTTGGAGATGACCAGCGACAGATTCTCAAGTGTTGGCACATGAACCAGGGGTCTGTAGATGTAGAAGGGGTAGGACACGGGCAAGGGAAGATCAAATAAATGGACTCTGGATAAGAGAAGGCTGATTCATCCTATTGCACACACACTGAACAGACCGCAACATCATAAACTTTTACAGGGAAAGCTGTTTTTAATCTCATCAGTAACATAAGCCCAGTCTCCAAATCACAAAAGGAAGTTTCTCAAGCAAGTACAGGCTTTTAGCAAAGAGGAAGGAATTTTTACAGTGCAACACTGGGTGGGTGCAGGAGTGCTCGGCTGTGGAAGGCAATGTGCTAAGGGCCACGTGAAACCTGCTTGCTTTGGATTCCAGTGGGTGTTACTCAGGCCATGGTGTCTCACAATTAAAGCACAAGCTCTGTGGTCTGCAAGTGTTCTAATGACCGACGTGGAGGAGGCCAGCTGTACCCTCACTGGGGCTTTGCCTGAGATTATATATCTATATATTCCTAATAGTTTCCATTTCCACCCAAAATTCCATTCTATTTTCTTGAACCTCCGTTCATTTTGGTTTACTAATAAGACATTTTCTACTCCCACTCAAATTTTGAGATTCAATTATTCTCTCTAAAATTTAGTTTTTATGTTATTCTTTGCTCAGAACTAAAATATAACATTGTAGACATTCCCTGTAAATAACCTGTAATAGTTTTACATTATTTCTAGAGTTTGACATACAGAGTCAAGAGAGTTAGCTGTGAGAATGAGCAGAATGTTTAACATTTGATTCAAACTCAAAGTGAACTATGCTGTATTTTGCTCTTACTACACATGAAGCTAACAGGCAACAATATGGCAAAGGGTTCTGAACCATGCATGCTCTTTCAGCCTATTCATTTAGAACTTCCTCTTACTTCCTATATTACACTGTGGTGCTGCAGGACTAAATGTTTCTCACCATAAATGCCCTTCTTGCCCCCCACCCCCAACCTCCAGCCAAAACATACTAAGGCGCTATACCTTTCAGTTCGGTTTAATATCTGTTCCATCCTATGGATGTTGGTTGCAAGGAGCTTGGAGGAAATTTGTAAAATGCACTGGTCTTTAGCAAAGCAAAACCTCCTGAGAAAGCTGTTGCCCTCTTCATAAAGAGAAGATTTCAGTGTCAAGGTTTCCCAAGAATGATGTGATGTCACAAGAGTGCAGGGTAGGGATGAGACAGGAATGTGATAGTTGTACAAAAGAGTGTGATTCTGCAGCCCATTTCCCCAGCTTCCTTCCCCCCAGTCTCAGCAAAACCTAAGCAACCATGTCCAAAGACACCTCTGTCCCTCTTGAGGGTGCTGGCAAGGGTGTGAGTGCGCTTTCAACTGTCATAATAATGAGGAGGGGGAGGTCGCTGACATTTAGTAGGTGGAGGTGAAGGGTGTTAAATGTCCAAAATTGTAAGGAAGAGCCCTGTGCTGCTCAAATGCCAGTGGTGCTTCTAATGAGAAACACTATAAGGACATGAAGGAGATGCTTTCTGGGGAGACTCTATTTCTTTACAAGAAAGAATATCTACCCACTTCCATGGCCCTTAT